AAGGAAAAACAGAAATCAACCAAATTTGTAACTTCACTGCAAATGGCTCAAATGCTGAAGAAGACCACATCATCCAGAAGTATTAGCATCTTATTAACTTCATGCTACTTGACTGTGAGCAATATTTTAACCTTCATAGTCCATCATAACCATTTGTTCATTTCTCTGACGGACGCCTTTATTTCCCACAGTGCCATGTCATCACCAGACAAGTTTACCTTTAAAACAGCAAACCTAGAACTGATGGGAACCATGTGCCGTTTCTTGTCCCTCCTGTCAGTGAGGCAGAGAAAGCACATGGTATGGCTCCTTGTCTCTGGCTACTGTGATCTGTGTTTTGCTGCCAGCTTTCACGTATTTAGCCGTGGGATTGAGCCATAGACCCAGCCCACCTCACAGAGTTTTACAACAATCCATAATTTGTTCTTTATCCTCGGTGGGACTCATGCTGATGCTCACACCTTCATATGTTTGGGTTTTAGAAAATAGAGCTTCAGAGGGTTACTACATTTGGAAAACTTTGCTTTAGTTAGTTTAGCTTTGCTTAGTTCTGTGGGATAAAAAATTTTAAGATATGTCTGTGTTTAGCCTCACAGGCTCCAAACGAAGGTCATGAGAGATAAGAATGAGTTCCTGCAGCCTCTTTCATGGCATGAAGGGGAGGACTACTGCTTTGAGGAGATCCATCTTGCCAGTGAAAGATATATCAACCTAACAGGGCAGGGCCTTGATGAACTCAAATTGTTTTTCCTCCAAATATTCCTGTGTGAGAAAGTTCTTTATGTAGGGGTGGGATAGTTCCAAGGGAGAGTGTGTGTATTAGGAGGTGTTGTATAAATGTATGTACTGAGCTTGCCCTTAGTCAGACCTCTATCTCTCCATCTTAAGATGTTAAATCTATTTGAACATTATCTTGAAGAGTCTCAGTTTCTCCTTAACTTCACAGTTCTTTTCCAAAAAGCTGAAGTACTAACTTGACCAGCATTATTTATTTGTGTTGCTTCTTCACTATAGGAACAAGCGCTATAGGAAAAGGAACTATAGGAACATTAACTAAAGGAACAGGAGCTAGCTGCTACAATGTGAGGTGCTCAGATTGAGTCATTCTCTCAGTCATGTTTCAAAGCATCCCTGTCTCATACCATGCTTTGAAGGCTCGGTAAAACCTTGAAGACTTCTTAGTGGTTGGAACCATGTGTAGCTCATTAATGGAGGCTGCCTAATACTAAGTCCAAGGCTATTTTTTAAGGTTCTGGCTCTACGCAGAAGATTTGAAAAGTCGTCACTGATATCATTGAAGCATGCACTTGTCCTCTCAGGTATCACCTGATGAAGCTCTGCTGGAGTTTGGAGCCCACCCACAGACCGACCTTTAAAACCATTGGTCAGCTCATCAATAGGCTCCTCCCCTTGACCGGTGACACATTACCATATCAGAGTGACGAGGTGAATAAACTAGGATCTGTTTGAGCCCTCGATATCGTCCAGCAGGTATATTCATCAATGTTACCTCTTCCTCTCTCCTCAGGTGACCTATAAAAACATTGATGAAAGGGGACAAGAAGAGGAGGTCCAAGGTAGAACATTGAAGAGAAAAGAAGAAGAGCAAAGTAAGATTTAACAGTTTTTTTATATGCCTTAGAAAAGTGTTGTGGTTTCACTCCCTGCTCCTGCCAATAGGTCACCATGACGACTGTGAAACTGGAGGGGAGAGGGAACCGACACTGAAGAACATCTACCAGCTGTCCTGATCAGTTCATCTGATCACCTGAAGCCCAATGGGATATCAGTGAACTCACATTGATAAATTAATGTCAGTGTCAATTTATCATAGCGCCAATGTGCTTTAAAGTCAGTCAAAGCACAGAAAAGCTATAATGCATAGAAGAAATTATCTGTTCCAACAAGATCCCAGACTCTGCTGCATCTAAAAGCCAAAGAAAGGAACGGATTTAGAACTTAGAGAAGTGTCCCTTTTCAGAGGCTATACCTTCAGGTTGATGCCATCTGATTCAACAGGCTGGTTGAATCTCTGAGTTATTGGAAAGAATGGCTGGCTGACATATTGGTCTAGAACAACCGGCTTGGTAACAAGTTGATTTTAAGTGACTGAATTTTTAAAAGCAGCTAAACTACAGCCTTAAGACACACTGAACAAAAAAGGTCTTCAGAGACCAGAGGCAATGATGGCCTCTTCAGATGATCTTGAAGAAAGAAATTTTTTTACCAGCATGAAGGAAATTATCTCCAGCAGCAAAGCTCCTCCTGAAGCTTCATTTCCAGTAGAACATGTCATAAACCTGCTTGTTGCTTTTAATCCACTGCTTTTAAAGTGTTTTTTATTAGTGTTGGGCCTTTATCGGCGTTAATGCAGCGCGTTAACGCTAGACTCTTATCGGGCGATAAAAAAAAAAAAATCGGCGTTAATCTATTCTCACAGCCGGGTTGGGTGCTGGGTTTATACTAATGAGGACTTTCACCTTGTTAGTTATCGAGGATGTATATCTGGGGGCGAGAATAAATCTGTCTTCCAACCTGTGTAGGCGTACTGTTAAATCAGCTATAAAGACGCCAGTGTTGTGCTGAGAAATACCTGCCTGTCAAGAAATACCTCCCCTCTCATATAGTGATGAGAAAAAGGATTGAAATATGAATGAAAAGGGAACTTTTTAACATATCTAGATTAATCTATTTAATTCCAAGAATACAGTGAGATTAATCTATATGAAAAAAATAATCTATGCCTACCAGTATTTTTTATACATATGTTTTTCTGGTGTTTTGAGTCTGAAGATCTTATTTGTCCTTTTTTTTTATCCATTTTTCACTGAAGCTTTCTAAGAATTAAATTGTGTACTCTTATCTTGGTGATTAAACTATTTCGTTTTTTGTACATGTCAGATTCTTGGTATTGAATATTAAGCTGAAGCATTTCTCTTCTTGTTGATGTAATAAAAGAGTTTGTGATGATTGAATCATATTGTGTCATAAACTGAACAGGAAATGACCTTCAGAGTCTTGGTCTCTCTGTTCCACCTTTAGTAAGTTCTCGGATGTTCTCTTGTTCTTCTCACCACAGATGGAATCTGATCTTTTCTTGAATAAATTAAGCAGAAAAAACGTTGGTGTTTCTGGTGTTTTATTAAATTGCTTTGGTTTGTTTTACCAAATTCTTCCAAAATGTTCTGATTTTGGGGGGAAATGTTCTCTGGCCTCTATCTAACTTGACCAACTGAACTTGTAAGTCATTGTGGGGGAGAATATCCTCATTAAGGCTTTAACTTCACTAGGAGCCATTTGTTAAAATAACGCACCCGCTTTTGGCATTTACTTAATCATATTTAGTTACTTTAACACAATAGCTTTATGCCCTACCCTGCTTACATGAAACAATTGTGTTAAAGTAACTAAATATGATTAAGTAAATGCCAAAAATGGTTGCATTATTTTTTATGCAGACAACTCTGCCCTTTATGTATCGTACCCAAGGGTCTTGTTGAAAATTCCTTCATTACCAGAACCTTGTGGCCTTCTGTTATCATGGATTTTATTATGTGGAGTCCAACCATGAACAAAAGCAGAAATTGCTGCATCTGACAGCTGATAAGGTCAAACCAGGGGTGTCCCACAATGTTTCCTGGATGAAAGCTGCAGATCCTCTCAGGTCCAGCAGGTGTACGGTTTGGATTCTTAATGACTCGGTACTGAGATAAACCTGTGAGCAGCCAGGGTATTTCTGGCTGAACATTTCTATAATCCTTTTCCATCCGCCTCTGCTCCAATAGATACTTGTGAGCTGGTTTAAGTGCTGCAGGTTTGGATCTTCAACCAACACTTGAGTCTCTGCAGCATGTTTAGGTTCTGCTTTACTTCGTTTCATCATGCTCTCTTCCTGGCTGTGTTTTATTCACCATGTTTCCTGGTTATCATCTCTTTCTGATAAAAGCACCATGCTCTTATGATGAGATGGAGGTCTCCACAGGTGAACCCTCTCAGTGAGTCTGTGTAAAAAGGTAACGATCAATGAGGCCATAATGAGAAACAACAAAAATCAACAGAAGGCTTTATCACACTTTTATTCCCCAGTAATCAACTTGTGGCTCCACAGGTGAGTTTCTCACTGCAGGTGACAGGTGGGAGCAGCGGGTGGAGCCTGATTACCTGACTGCTTTACAGCTGCTGGACTTTAGATTGAGATAAACAACAAACAGCAGCTCACGTCAGCTCAGAGAGAGAACTTCATCTAATGCAGCGGTTAGAAGGCCAGACTACAAACAGGGGTCTAAAGCTCCTTAAATATTATGTTAAAACCAACACACTAAGACACCTGATGTCTGTCATTTCTGTGGTCCCAAATGTTGCTTCAGAAATGGAACCAGACAGGCCGAGTTGATCTGGAGCCCCTCACTGATCTGTTATCTGCAGCATTGATTTTTTAATGAGTCAGTGATCAATAGGAGGTTGATAAAAGAACAGATCCTGGGTCAGGAGACCCACTTCAGAGCTGCTTTCCATCGTCTCCACAGATCTGACATCTTCAGCAGGTAACGACATTCCAATGGTTTTGGTTCTGCTGTTAATCTGTCAGATCAGGCATTTCATTCTCGCTAACTAATGGATAATTACACAGTCGTTAACATCGATAGCTCGGCGATATGGTGTTAGGAATTTGGGGGGGGTTTTTTTGGTTCTAGTTCTTGAAGACAAAACTAAAATGTTTTAATTTTTAACAGCTTATAGCTAATTAAATAAAACATTTAGTTCACACATGATAAAGCTTGAAGGTGTTTAAAGGAAACAAAAAGCATAAAATGATTAGTTGATAAGATCATAGGAGTTATTGTTCCTAAATAAATAATTTGTTATGATTGTTTAACAGATTGTTTAACATTGTGTGGATTGATTTCATTAACGATGATCATATTCTTAATGTTTTTCCTTCATCTTCATGCTGCTGCTCTTATTTCTTTCTGCAGCAGAAACTCATTGAAGCGGTCGGGATGTCTCGGCGTCTGTCATCCCTGGAGATCTTGCTCTCCATCATTTCTTCTCTCCTTATCATCTGTTGCATCTGCCTGATCGTCGTTACTTGGATCAGCCTGAAGCCCAAAGGTGTGCGGTCTAGTTTTGGTCACATGACCAGCAGGTTTAACACTGATGATGTCATAACGTGTTCCAGGTGCGGAGGATCCTGCGCAGCTCTCGGGTCGGTTGGTAATCACAGCAGGAGCCCAGTTTTCCGAGGAGCTGAGAAACTCCAGCAGTCATGGGTTTAAATCTCTGGCCTTCGACGTTCAGCAGCTGGTGAGAACACAGAGGCTTTTATTGTGAAGGTTCACAGGACTATAGAGGGTGACTTTTATTGTGAAGGTTCACAGGAACATAGATGGAGGCTTTTATTATGTAGGACTTTGTTATAACATCGTTTTTACTGTATAAGTTTCTTCAACTTCAACTCAGATCCTAATCAAATGATGACAGTCTGAGCTCTGACTGTTTGACAGGTATCTAAGGCATTTGGATTTGGCAACCTGCAGCAGTTCTACAGAACCTGCCAGGTACAACAGTTCAGGTCAGATATAAAATAATTCCCTCTCATTCCAGCACCACTAAATGACCCAGCTGATCCTCTGATCATTAGACCCTTTAAATTCAATAATTTATGATGAAATGATTTATGATTTGTATTTTTACTTTTGGTATCAATAATCTGACAGTTGGTTCCCATATACCTTCAGCCCTGGCAGCGTGGTGGTGACCTTTGACCTTTGGTTCAATCAACCTATTGGCACAAAAGAGGTGGAGCAGAATCTGGGGGCGGGTCTTCAGATGGCAGGGGGCGGAACCTTGGTGATTGATATCAACAGCATCCAGATTACAGGTAAATCTTTGATTTCATTACAGTTCATTAAATAACATGACTGGAAAATTCCAGATTTAATTAGTGTTAGTAACGTAAACAGACAGATCAGAGATAAAAATGTGAGAGTGAAAGAGATGTATGCATTGAGTGGATGCTGTGAGCAGTGTTGCTTTTGGAACCAATCTTAGATTTATTCTTAGCTTTCGTCTTCAGGACAAAAACTATTATTAGTTTTAGTTATGTTTCATTTATTACGATATGTGATTGTTTTAGTCGGTTTTAGTCGACTAAAGCTCAAGAAAGGTTTTAGTCTAGTTTTAGTCAGTTTTATGTTACACTTCAAAAAACACCTAACCTTTACAATTTCGAATATCAACCAGATTCTTTACCAGACTGACTGCTCTTCCTAGATACTACAGTTGCTGGAGATACAATGCTGTTATGCAGTTTATAATTGCTGTTGGGCAGAAAACTTTGATTTCTAGAATTAAAATAAACCTTTTTATCAATCAATGCCCTACTTCATACAGTGTCTCACAAAACTTTGAAAATAGCAGATCTAGTTCAACACATCATATTGGTGAAATAGCAGACAGATAAGCTAACAAAATGTATAATAATAAAGGAATGGTTTTAGAAATATAAGGTTTCCATTCAAAAGCAAATACTTCCCGATCTACTACGAATTATGCATTACACACAGATGAATCAATCTTCATTACCCCGAAAAGCAAAATACAAAAACATTCTTCTTTCTACTTTGGCAATTTTGGCTGTATTTCTAAATATTTGCCCCTTGGTTTCTGCTGCTTAAAAAGCAGATTTAAATTCATAGGGATGATATAAAAAAATCACACAGAGAACCTACATAGTAGCTGTCAGGGGGCTTAGAACGTTGGACCCAGAATTCAGGTGAGACACACAGTGATATATTAAAGGCATTTACTGAAAGTAGCTTGTGGTTGAGGGAGAAACACATGTAAGTGACCATGATAATCTGACAGAAGGTAAATATAAATATGAGTCACTTACCTGGTCAAACAGATCAGTCCATCCTCACGGGTGTGGCAGCATCCAGCCGATGAACTGCCAACGAGATGCGTTGCCAACTCGCCCAGAGTGTCCCAGACACAGCAGCCCCTGTGAAACAGGCAGAAATCCGAGCCAGGTCAGAGAAACAGTCTAGAACAATGACGGTTCTGAGATCCAGGAGTCTAAAACCCTGTCAGGGGTTCCGATCAGAGCAGGAACAGATAGATCCAAGGTTCCAGGAATCCACAGAGCATGAAAACAGAGTCAGAGTTCCTTGAGTCCAGCAGAAAACTAAGGCAGATATGCTCAGACGGAAACAGGCAGGCACAGCAGTTGAGAGACAGAGACAAGACATGGCACATGGAGAACTGCAGGACTTTAAAATGGCTCCCTCCTCTGAAACGGGAACAAGGTATGCTTCAGTGGATAAGAACATAGAGGGTCATGTCCTGGCTCAGGAGGTAAGAGCCAGGACACAATCAGGACACGACAAGAAAACACTAACACCCTACCTGTCCACTGGCCTCCGAGAACAAAGACATGAACTATGAAATTGAAGTCAGATTTAAAAAAAAAACACAAACTCAAACATACATAATGATCTGGCCCCGATAGCTGGGCCGAACCATATTTAAGCAGCAGGCGCAGGTGGATAAAATGAGTGGTGATTGACAACCGGGCAAAGTTAGGCAGGTGAGTGAAATGAATAGTGAAATGAAAGGTCAGCTATCAGGGCAAATCATGACACAGCTGTCAGTCTGAAGAACGCACAACTCTACTCTGAAGCATGCTGGGTAAAGAGGGAGGGGCAAGCACAAAACCCAGGGACTTTGTCCATTCTCTGTCTTGTGTTCTTGTGAATTTGAACAGTGCTGAGGCTAAGGCTGATGACATTTCATAAGCACACTAAAATGCAAAGTATACACACTGACACTGTTTCAACAAGAGATTATCTGGTTCATACCAGTCTGGATTGAACTGCTTTTTTAACACTAAAATGTTAATCCCATTGTCTCCAGGATGGATTAACATGATTAGTGTGAAGGACATTGCTTTAAATGAGCTGCAGTCAGCATCCTTCATCAATACTAAAAAATCCTCCTTCAGACCAACCAGTAGATGTTTGTTTCTGCAGAGAAACCTGAACAGACGACACCTGTAGCAACATCAGCCATGCCCACAACAACCACGCCCACAACAGCCATGCCCACAACAACCACGCCCACA